GAGGAGCTAGAGCGTGAGAGGAAACGCAACTCTAAAGAAATCAGTGCTCTGCAACACACGAGCGATACCATGCTGCGTCAACGAGATGAAGCACAGCGTGTAGTCCTTCATCTTAGGAGTCTAATCAATGGCCAGGCCCATCACATGGAACACATCGTCCGTTCTCTCTCAAATACCCCAGAACTCTCTGGGTTCATCCAGGAGGGTTATGACGACATACCAGAAGATAATGAGGCCGAGGACCACGACATCACAGAAGCCAGTCCAGTTCGACCAGGTTCTCAAATGAGGTCTATATCCAGACTCCCCAGCGGCGCCAGCACCATTGATGGTGAAGACGTCACTCCAGAAATGGAGCAACACCTGCTGAACCCTAAACATAACAAACGCTACTCAACCCTGAGCATATCCGACGTCGCTGACAGACACCTGCGAGACAAAACCGACGCCATCGCCGATATTATTCGGAACATTTCCGACCAATGTGCCGCAGCCGTTGAAGGCCTCCATCTTGCCCAGGACGCCGAGTTCGACGATTCCCTCCGGCTCCAGAGCGGCAAGGATAACCGGAACTGTGGCAACCTCACCCCCACTGACGAACATGACCGCGAACATTCCGTCCGCACTGACGGTAGCGAAGCGGGAGATAACGACGGTAGCTTCCTCAGTCCCGATGGACGCATGTCCAGCATTCCTCCCACACCGGATCTTGTGCATAATCGCTCCAGCACGTCGATGTCAATGGTTAGCAGTATGACGATTCCAGAGCGGTCGAGCCAGCAGTATGGCCCTGGCGAGCTACCGACGAGGATTGTCGAGGATGATGATGAGCGGACGTATGAGATGGAGGCGCAGATTGAGAGTAATGGAGGCGTTGTTTCCAAGCAGGCTGAGCAAGGGATTTTGAGAGGAGAAGCAGGAAGGATTGTTGAATGAGAGTTCCACATGAAAATCTAAGTCTGAGAGATTTGCCTTCTTGCACAACAGCGACAGCAACATCGACAATTCTGGCACCCGGTTTCCTGTGTGATATTGCCCAACATGATTTGATTTTCCCATTCTAAGCCGTTATTTGGAGGTTGAGGAATCGATGATTTTTCTTTTGTGTATTTCTTTTGGCGGTAGATATTCTTTCTTTTATTCTCCATTTATTTTATCCATTATTCTCCCTGTCGGCTTTGTTGTTTTGTTACACCTCCTTTTACCCTGCAACGCGTGTGTGCTGCAGATACCCGCTCCGACTTCGGCAGCATCTTTTTATACGTTTTTGTCAGATCTTTAATTCCCATCTAATTCTTATCTTGTCTATCAGCAAAGCAAAATACTTTGGTATATATGCGACATGATTGCACATGTACAGCCACATTGCCCCCCTTTTCAGCTATATACATATCATCTCCACCAATTCCTCACCACATATGCGCTTTACCTCAACCTCAAGATATACCAAGAAAGGAGAAAAATGCTGCAGGGAGATGTGATTCTCTTTGCAAATTTCGGCTGAAAAAAGCCACTAGCAGATAGAGACTCACCATAAAGCACTCAGAACATGTCTTCGTATACCTAGACTGCTCTGATAACCTCTCAATGAAAGCTTTTTTTTTTTTTTTGCTCATTTTGAATTCCCCTCCGTTTATATTCTTGATATTTTCGTTGCATTTAACCTGCATTTCCTGGTCGCTTGGTCATTTCGTTCTCCCCCACCTACTATGTGTACATGTCTCTTTTCTATTTTTTCCTTTTGAGCTCCGCTCCTTTCTCCAAGCAGTCTTGCGTTGCGTGTCCAGGATTTCTCTTCTTTTTATTTTCTGTTTATACCTTTGGTCTTCCCCCTACACTACAAACCCTCCACCGGTGTTAATTATTTCATTTCCTCTATCTTTCTTTCTTACACTTTTTTGGAGGTTATTTCCTGTTTGCTTTTGTTTTCTTTCTTTTTCTTTTTTTTCTTTTTTTCTTTCCCGGAGTACCACAGTTATAATACAATTTTTTTAAAAAAATCCTTCTCTAAGTAACTATCTTAACTTCTTTCTCCTATCCTACCCGTTGAACAAAAGTACCGTGGTAGGTGTTTCGTAGAAATTCTCAACCTTTTGACCTTTATCTTTACCAATCAGTTTTCAAGATACGTCAAAACGAGTGATTGTCAGGTCACTATGAACTGCATGATTAAGTTAAACCCTTTCAAAAACCCTTCGGATTGCAGGCTTAGAGCAGAGAATATATTTTCTTCCCATCTCCGCCCATATCTAACCATTCTTCATCCTTACATATATAAACTTTCTCCATTCCATTCACATTCCCAGTTTGTTTCTAGAGAAGTGTGTGTGGTAGATATCTCTAAAACAGTGAGATTGGCGCCCAATTCACAGGGGAAGAAAATCCAAGGCAATAATAGAGAACCGAAAGTATTCACATCGGTTCCGTTGATCCAAAGTCTTGCAAAGAAAACTGTGAAATACAGGGGCTAATTTGATCAAAGTGCTTAGCTATGCGTTAACACTTTGTCTCCCCACACTGTACGGGATTCCACAGGGCTCTGTCTGTTGACGTTCTGCGGGATGGTTGCTATATTGTATGGGGAACACCTAGGTACGCGAGCGACATTGCCAACCGGCTGAAAGGCCAGCAAACCGTCAGGTTGTTAATTTAGCTGTAGGATTGGCGTTGTCGAATTGCCTTCAGCGTGGACTGTGGGGTTGGATGATCCGATTTGGTCTGTCTGAACTTGGAAAAGGACCCCGATTTTTGTGTGTAAGCAGTTGCTAGGGAGAAGATTCTGGGATTTCCAGACTGACCGATAATCCCAGTAAAGCGAAAGAGTTCCCAGGAGGAAAATTAGAGATCAACAATATATCCCGGGTTATGTTGGGATGCGTTTAAAACCGCATATATGTATATGTCTGTAGTGCATTTTTGAACCTGCGTTCATGTATGCAGAGGTATCCATTAGCGGCGACTCTTTTTTCGGGGATAATGAGCATTGCGAAAGGTTTGTATCTGGGTGTATTTGAAAGGGCAGAGTCATGTTGTTCCAGTACTCCCAGCAAACGAAAGAACTCATCAATGTATTCTTATTTTACCGGTTGGGAGGGGCCTAGAAGTAACAGAGGACACACAACAACTTTTCACCCTAGAAAATAACTTCAAGTTGTAAGATCCAGAACGTCATCCAAAATAAAATTTGGAAGACATTTCATTTTGCTTGTTATTTAATAGAGCTACTACTCTTCTCCACTTGAAAAATAGGTAACCACTCCGACAAATTGACTCCAAATAAATTACCCTGCTAAGCTCTGCAATCCAACTCCTCCTTTTCCGAAAGGCAGTCGTCAAGTACGCAGGTGAAGCACTGATGAGATCGCGAGGTACACGCCTGCTGAAGGAAGGAAACTAGATGGGATGCGCCGTAGTGCCGCCGGACAGATCATTCCCGAGTGGTATCCTTCGAAATCTGGAAAATGCAAGACTCGTTTTGGTAGATCCCACACGTGTACGGTAGTTGCGGATAGTTCATTGGAAATTAATGCAGATTGAAACAATCAAGATCACCGAGACGAGCAAGCGACAAGCGACAAGCGACAAGCGCAGAAATCCATAGTTCATTTTGCTGCCGACGGAACAAAATCAACCTTCTTTCTTCCTTGACAGGGTCGTTGGGCCATGAGAAACCTAGTGATGGGTGTTGTGCCTGAGATCTCCGTAATGGCTGGCATGCATCCTCCTGGCAACCATTGAACCAAGGTAATCAGTTTAGACCAATAGATTTCATCCGAAGGAAATTTTTATTAAGACATAAAGATTCACTTTGCGGTTTTCTGAGCTTGAAATTTGTCTATCATCAACTATGATGGCATGATGCGCGAGCTGGACTGACAAGAGGTTCTGCTGCCTGTGTCATTCGAAGATGCCAGGATCAGAGCTTCAGGTCCTTTGAGTTGTCGCAGTGATCCCAGACTGTTATTTTTGTCCGTTCCAGCTTCGTCTTCCTGCTGTGTGGTACTGGTCTTTGTTGCTTGACGTTAGTTGTCAGGCAAATGCAGTTGGGGATAGGAGTCAATGCTGTATGAGATGGTTTTAGGCAGAAAGCGAAAAGGAGGAGGGATTAAGGTTTGAAGTCATGTGTAAGCGTGTAGTAGAATAGGGGTAAAGTTAAAGGGGTATTTCTCCACACCAAAGGGCAGCATGTTAAACTGTGCACATTTATTTTCAAACTTCAAGGTCCAAATGGACGGTAATTCATTGATGTTATATACAAGGGAAACTATCTACTAATAATGTGGGAACGAGAAAAATAGAACACCAACTAATGCAAAGAGGTATGAGAATTCAAAGTAGGGGAAGACATCAGGGAGATTCGAAATGTGCGTTCCCAAGCGGAGAAGCAAGCGCGCGCCGTGAAAATGCTTCAAAATGATAACCCAAGAGCGCCAGTGAAATGAATCGCTCAAAGTAACTAGAGATTAAAAGACAGGAGAGCGGAGGACGTGGGTAGTTCTTCCAGGTCTATAAAATGTATGCCACGGAGTTGGCAAGCTCCAAGGCACCGCCGATCTACTGACCAGGTGTTTCGACCTGCCATCCATCCCCAACACGGGAACGGTTTAGGCACTGCTAGAATTCGAGGAGGTCGTTGAAATATCAACTCCTTTCGAGCTCTCCCATCTCGGGAGATAGAACACCCCGAGACACAATGATAATGGACGTCTATCCTCGTCGCTAAAGCACCTGTCGATTCGACATCGAAACGACAGGAGAGCAGGCTACAAGGAAGAGGCTTGCACTGATCATAGCAGCAAGTATATATTGGTCGGTAGCGGACTTATAATAGCACGCGGCGCTGGCCAATACTGCTGCTATACGAGATCAATTAGCCACCCATCAAAGTCCCAACTGTGAAAATAACATAACAAAGAGGAGAATTTATTCCACAGCCGGGGGTTATCGATCACGGATTCCAGGACCTATGACGGAATCCCCTAGTCCATCGGCAATCTGCATCACTCCATGGAGATTGCCGATGGACTTGGTGTCTCCGACATACGCCCTGGAATCCACGGTCCATCCTCGCCAGATGACCGAGGAGAAATGATCTCTGTTGGAACAGTATTCTCAACAGTAACCACGTCATCATCGTGGGTGGTAGGGTATTCATCGAAGTTGGGCTTGGCCCGTATGCTAAGCTTAGAGGAGTCTGTTGGGGATTGCCGCGGACGTTCCAAAAGATTGGGTTTTAGTTGAATCCGACCCCTCTCCAATGCATGTAACAGGATAGAATTGACCTCATCTGATACGATCCCCTTCAGTTTACTCATCGTGTCATCGGACATTTGAGACGCATGGACATTCCAACCCAGTTTATCCAGATGTTCTGAAACAATGGATTTGGTGTCGAGCGTTAGTCCTATGTGGTTACGGTGCAAGTATGTCGGTGAGGTTTCGTTGGAGCGACGAGAAATCTTAGATGGTTTCGACTTCGATGAAGAATTGACGGATACTACTTCATCCAGCATACGCTTATGGGCAGTTGGAACGACGTGACTAAACGGACCTTCGCCAACTTCATTTCTGATCTTGTAGTATACAAGGCCCAAAGTGGCCGCAAGAGCTTGATGGCAAGCTTCCGGGTACTGGCGAGATGCTTCTGCACGGGTGAGGTCTGAGGGTAAATCACTCGAGTCACTGGAGTCACTCATATCACCATCTGTGGAGAAAGTTGAATCGTGTGCATGCGGCATACGGCCCCAATACTGGTAGCCTTCCAATTCGTAAAACTCTGCAAGCTCGACAAGGCGATGAACTAGGGGGTTTTCAGGGTTATTATGGTCTCATGCCATCTAACGAGATGCCGTTAAACTTTTATCCACTTACTTCGGTTTCGCTTCTTCAAACACCAGAATTTCCAAACAGTCCGGGGGAAGTACTCTGGCCAACGAACAGCTCCGTTTTCTTCGACAAAAGGGACCGGGGTTATGGGTGCATATGCAGTCTGGGCTAGAGAGTTGAATCGTGTACGTTCCATGTACTTCATACGCGATTCCATTGCTGAGAAACGAGAGAAGACAGCTCCGAAGTTCTGAGACGACTCCCTTTGGAGTGTCATCAAATCAATGTGAAGTTGGCTCACGATAGTCTGAATCTGACTGAGGTCTGTTCGTGTAGCACAAACGTCGGTATGAAGTTTCTGGACATCGATCTGGAGCTGGTTGACATCGCTTTGCAGCTGGCTGATGTCACTCTGAAGAAAGTCTTCCTTCGAACTTAGCTCTGAGAGGTGAGTCCTCAGCTGTATCATCTCAGACTTCAACTTCGTTAGGCCATCCTTCAACTGGGACACATCGCCCTTCATCCTTCCTACGTTTAGTTCGATTCGGCTGCAGGTCTGGCGTTGCCCGTCAAATTCTCTTCGAATGTACTCATCTTCCCGGTTTCGTCGGTTGACGTATTCATCTTGGGTCAGTATTGAAGTCCGCAGATCGATTACTTTAGCATCAAGCTGATGTAAACGGTCATGGATAATGAGGAGTGCTGGATCAGAGACGGTTGGAGGTGTCGATTCTCGTTTCGTGGACAATCTTGGACTGGTCGTCATACTGGAAGCCCTGTGGAGGCTCCTTTCAACCGTGGACATGATGAAAAGGAGGGGAAAGAGGAAGAGAGAAGAAACAAAGACAAGAAAAGTGCTCATATGACTGGAAACATTCTGACTGTAGATATTTTTCTTTGATATTAACATGAACTTTGGTTTGGGAATGAGGGAATTTGGCGGGAATTGGGTGGCAGAAGAGTTGAGAACAAGGAGGTGAGGAGAAGACAAAGGGGATGACAGCGCCAAAGGGGCAGCAAATGTGGGAATTTTTGGCTCTTGGGGGGGGGGGCAAAAGTTGGACACAGAGCCATCATCCGGCCTCCTCAATGGAATGAGGGCCCAACCTGAACAATCTTGATGCAACCGTGAAACCGCTATACTCAAAGCAGAAGCATCGGCTGATGCCAAGGGAGAAGGCGCATTTTAAGTCTCACACGAAATATATTGAATACCGCTAGTGGTATTGCCCAGTCTCAGATGATGCCAACAGCCACACATCAAAGCGGAACAAGTCGGCGAGAAGTTTTAGGAGAAGAACGATATAGCTTCTTGATTCAAGCAATAAAGCTATAAAAAAGCCGATGTGAAATAAAGGCCAAAGAAATATCTTTGAACAGGCGAAGATATATGGAAAGTATGGGGAGGCTTCTTGTGCTGAAGCAGGCTGACTGAGAGGGAGGAGAGAAGGACGACCGGCGACCACAGCATGCTTGTTACGCAGTATTGCGCTAAGCAAAATTCCAAGCCCGCAGCGCTAACGCAGCAAACCGTACCGGGGCCTTTTTATTTTTCTTTGCTGTGGTCCGGAATCCTATCGTCCAACCAATTCAGTCTAGCAAATTTCATGGACTGGAGTCTTGCACCGGCCTAGCTCGATAAGGGCATAGATTGACGCCCACCGCCTCATCCTGCGAGCAAATGGGCGTCAGCCCAGAGTCCAACAAAATGTATCTGACCGCTTCAGCCTGCCTTAGCGTCATGACACGATTCTTGTCTCCCTGGATCATAAGTTCAGGGTACACGTGACAGCAGAGATAGATCTATACACTGATCACGTTACTGAGCCCGGTTGAACCGAGGAGGAGCCTGGGTTGTGTTGGGCCAGGGAGACTTTTGGCACCGTCCACGAGTTGCTGTTGGACCCGACACTGCATCACGTTAGTGGCCCAGGCTGAGGGACCGCGAGCCAAACAGAATGGTCCTTTCTAACAAAATCGCAGCTCGCTTCCCAGCCTTGGAAAGCCCATATTGGCCAGGTGAGAGAAAGGGGAATTTCAGGATTGTGGTCTGGTTGGCTCCAGCTTGAACGCGCGTTAACGTCTCCAACTGCGTCTGGCCGGTACAGGAACCAGAAGCAGGCACCGAAGATTGCATTTGGACTTCAAGGATGGTCGAGATCATATTATGCTGCTCGATTTGAGAATCAGAAGTCAGCGGCAGAAGGTCCCTGAGCATGGCAAGGGATATTGTCACGGACAATATATCCGTTAAAAGGTTCGCCACGCCGCTGGCAAAAGGCAAATTGTCGAGACAGGTCGACACTGCCAGGTCTAAAGGCATTGGAGGAATAATACACATATGTCCCATGAGTGAGAAGCCTACCATAAACCCCTTTGCAAATGTCAAAGCGACAACCACAAACGGGAGAAGCACGGCAGACGTGGGTCAACTTGATATCAAATAAGATTGGCATCAGGATATCAAGAAATGTCCCAACATCGGCAGATCCTGCCTTTTGAAAAGTCATAGGAATGTGTGTGCAGATTTTCCAGCTGATATGGCTGAGAGAGAAACAATAGCTGTACTGGTGTGGGTCATAGAAAAAAGCAGAGAACGACACGGTCGCTCGGAGCACACAACACCATCCTCTGTAATAGAGAAAGGAACTAATTGAAAACAACTTCATAATAGCTACTGAAGCAGGGGTTGGCCAGGGTAAGCTCTGGAAGAGGTATATAACAATAGGTCAGAGTTGGCACCTGCGCAGAGATGGGCTAACTGATAAAGATGACGATGCGCCCTGTGAGCAACATATGTGGTTTCTTTTTGATTCTCTGGGAGTCTACTCGGTCACAACGCCAGAACCCCAAGGATGTACCAGCAATCCCTTTGTATAAATAATGATAAATACGGGGTAGAAGATAGTTGTTCAGAGACAAAACAAAAAAGAACGGCATAGAATTAGGAACTTCAAGGGTGGAAGCTTAGCCTAAAACAGATTGTCCGAGATTTGTTGTTGGGTTAGGCAGCACTCGGGATATCGATGTTCCGCCAGAGCGCGTTCGAGTTCACATCCCGTGACTTCAAGGACAAAAAGGGGCTTCCAAAAGTCAATTTGCCCGATGCGCCGCCATCGTATTCTCTCTACGCAACACTTAACGAAGTACCTGATTTGTCCTCCCTGGGGAAGTCTCTTGGGAAATCAATCCATGATTATTAATGGAATAGACTGGTTACTTTGGCCACTAGACTTTGCTCAAACTCGAACCTGGTTGTGGGCTTGCGGACGGGATTGAGCAAAACACCACCCACGTAACTTTTCATGACATCCATAGATACACACCTCTTCAGCTATTATTAGCATTGAGATTACTGAACTCCTTCAACATCAAAGAAGCAGATGGATAGCTCGATATTCTCTCTTACACTTATATATCACCACCCGCGCAACTCCAGGTAAGGGGGTCACCATTTCTTTCGACCTGGGGTTCCGACTGGTTGGACATGATCTCAGAAGCCAGCCATCGTCAAACATACATCCATATTCACGTCGTCGACACCTGGTATGTCTCGACTTATGAGACTGGACTTGATGGTTTTGAATGATCCTGTTTGGATGGATCCCGTTTCACAGCGGAACAACAGTTGAATGATGAAATGACCGTACGTGAATATACCATACCGTTCATGGACGTGGAGGAGATGGAGATGATGATATGATGATTGAGCTCTCCATACAGCCAGGAAGCTGTATTACTGATGCTCCAGATGCGGAACTACCGTGGTATTGTTCTGTTCCCGGATGTGATAATTTGGAGTGGTAACTAGCCCCCCCTTTCCTCCCACTGCTCGACCAGCCCAGTTGAGCTGATCCATTGCGAGGGCCATAAAGGAAATCCGGGGAGATGTGCAGAATGAGAGAGGATTCTCTCTCCGCGTGTTGCTATTGCTTGTCTGATGTCCGGTGCTTTCCTCAACTTCCCAACACCCTCCGTACCTTACAAGCACCGCTCCTGCCCCCGGGACGCTGTTGGAGCAGCCCCGTTTCTTCAGTAGAAGAAACTTGCTATGGCGGAGACCTCGTCTTCTAACGTTTGCATTTGTTGGTGGTGCCGACACGGGCTCCTAAAAGCCCCCATTCTTTCAGCTTTATTATATCATGCTTATTGATATCACTTTTTTTTGCGCTTCAGTATGAAATATCTTTCTTGTTTTGCACTTTTTGCGTTCGTATGCCTTGGGGCCGCGGCTAGGGGAGGAGCTTCTGGAAAGTCCACTAGAGACGAAAGCGATTACTCAGACAATCCCCTAGACAGATGTGAATGCTATGTGGTTTCAGGGCCCGAGCCGGGGTATTTCCAGAACTACAGGTTTTACGACTTCCGATCAGTCTCCCCGGAGAAAACCTGGTCGGCAAACTCCAAATCGCCGAAGCCGGTCCAGAACATACCCTCCAACTCGAACAAGGAATCTCGCATACACCTTGAAGAGACAGGCTTTCTCGACGACTGGGAGATCCAGGACTGGAATAGAGATGGGTCATTGCTGTACCCAATCCCTATTCGGAACTACTATGAAAATGTTTTCGTCCTTGAAGATACCACGAACAAGTCGACCGACTCGACCTACTTAGCTCTTCGAACTCAGAGACTAGAAAACCATACCTCAACGGCAGAGATTGAAACATACATCTACAACATTTTTCGTTGTTCGCTCAGGGTTCGACTGCGCCTTCATGCTGGGCGACATGGACGGCTTGAGGATGTGGATGACGATGAGGATGGGGATGGAGATGGGGATTGGGATGGGGACAGGGACGAAGATGAAGACGATCTTGGTGTCGATAAAGACACAATCCCATCCAGTGACCGTAATCGTTCAAAAATATTTCCAGTTAATTTCCGCCTGCGACCACCACCTAAGGGAGCGGTAGCCGGTATTTTCACGTATTACTCCAGAACGGTTGAGTCGGATATTGAAATATTAACCTCTGACCCTTCAACACAAGTCCGCTATGCCAACCAACCAGATTGGGATCCGATAACGGACCTGGAGATACCAGGGGCGAGCACGATAGCTCAACTTCCCATTCCCTGGACAACCTGGGCAACCCACCGCCTCGATTGGTTTCCGAATATGTCGCGTTGGTATCTCAATAATGATCTTCAAGACGAGAAGGATTATCATGTTCCTGATAAACCCAGCATGCTTGCTCTGAATCTGTGGAGTGATGGAGGCGAATGGTCGGGCAATATGACGATTGGCTCTACAGTGCTGATGGGCATTGAGTGGATCGAGGTTGCTTACAACACTTCGAACACTGATGAGCTACCCGAACTTAATCGAACGCGTTTTATGGGGCATGTTAGATCTTCTGGGCGTAACCATCCTAGGCCAATATTAGATGAGAGCATCATGGCGAAATCGATGCATCATTGGGAAAAGCCAAAGAAACATGGCTTGAAAAAGGAGGACTTCAAAGATGACTCCGAGGAGAGCGATTATGGCGACGAGAAACATCTGCATTGTCTGGTCGGATGTCGAATTGACGATGTGGAAACCGTCGGGAAACCAGAAATTCTGTGGGACTATTCGCAGCCGCATTGAAACGCGCCTTTGGAAAATTGACGACGGTTGTGCTCAGGGTGTTTTTTTTTTTTTTTTTTTTTTTTTCCTTTTCTACTTAATCGAGCAGAAAAACATATCTCTACGCTAGAAAAGATAGTTTACTCTTGGACTGTTGTTCTGTATATCAAGTTCTTCTTTCTTCCCGTTTCCGTGCTTTTGGTCACCGCAGTTCTCTCTTGCATACCAAGGAGGCGGCGTTCAGAGTTGCCCTTTGTGTCCTCATCATTTTTCTTTTCCATGAATTTATGGATAATTTTTGCCCTCTCTGGTATATTCTTATATGGAGTGCTGTTTTCTCCGTTCCCCCGCAAGACAAGATAAAAGGCTATATATTGCGGATTCTATTCCCCTTCGCCCTGCAAATGGAAAACTGGTCCTCACTGCGATATCCCTGGTTGTGTAAACTCTACGCAATATGCCGTACGCTGTTGCTTCTCACTTTACCATCTCTTCTCCTCGATTGGAAGTAAAAATGGAAGTAAAAATTGGAAGCAAACAGAGGGCCCTGTGAGAATTGAAGAGTGAAACTCTGTTTTCACATCTTTTGGTTTAGTAATTTGACGTGATAGCGACATAGCAAATAAAAGGTTTTTCACGAGTCGCGATAGTAGTTACCGTGGATTTTAATAACCAGGGGAATGCAAGACAAATATAGGTACATAGCGCAACCTCCCTATCCAACAATTATCAGATTGCCCTTATTAGACACAGAAAGCCTTGACGATATTTAATAGCCTAAGCAAATATTTTTTATTTGCTTCTTTATAAACCACGTCTTGCTCTGTATTATTTGACCGGGTTGGGTTGCGGCGGTGAGCTGCCAGAGCTTATTAGGTAATGTGACTGGCCACACTCAACACTTTTTGATATTTTCCAACTCAATGCAAAGTCAAACTCTTCAACTTTCACATGATTCAAAATGAAGACTTAATTAAACTTGCAATTGAAGATTTGAAAGTGCAAAAGATCAAAATTATTGTGTCACTGCTAAGAAATATTCAAACTCTTATACAATGAAATCATCTTCTGATATATAAAAAATTATAAATATGCCAAAATAGCAGCTTCTACTTTTTGTTACGGCGCAGCGGCTTGTAATATGAATTAAGGTTGATCCACCTGATCAGCAAAGATGACAACAGGTTCCTGTTGTTGTTTCTGTCCAATCCATCCCTCCTAAATATACCATAAAAGCAAACCCAAGTCTTGTCTCAATTTCGGGCATCCAACCGGAGAGGCGAATTTTCTAGAGTCCGTTGATAAAAATCCACACCCCCGGACGGAAATAGCTAGCTCCAAAAGATTGTCGGTTCTAACCATTCGAGTTCTCTTCAAAAGGTTATTAGAAAAAGAAAAGTTAACTATAAACCACGAACATACTCGCGTGTTGGGCTTCTGTTAAATCATCCCGTCTTTCCGTCTCTAGGCAGCTATCGGCCGAAGGTTGGCCGAACGTGTAACTTTATTTTGCTACAGCTTTGTCATACATAGGTAGGTAGTTCACAGCCCCAAGTATTTGCTGGTTTCGACTAGAGGTTCAATTTTGGTGCTTCTATATAAACATGGTTAAAGTCGAGCCCAGTCTCGAAGCTCACCGAATTTGCTAATCCCGCTTTACACGATTGTCTGATTGTCTGATTGTCTGATTTTCTGATTGTCTGGGCGAGTTTTAGGTATTGCTTCGTTTACTGCCATGTCTGCTACCAATCAGAAAGGGCGTTGTCGTGGGGGTCTGAGAGATGAAGGTTCCTTGGAAAGCTTGCAAGCGGATGGCTGTTGCTCGCTGTCTTCTTCTCTTGGGCAGCCTGATGCCGGAGACCGCTGTTGCAATCGAGAAACCAAGCGATCTGAGGCTCAGCAGTCATGTTGCAATCTAAAACCCGAAGGGACGGATGCTCTACAATCCTGCTGCAATCAAAAATCCAAGGATAGAGAGGCTGTAGCGACACCAACAACAGCAACGGTAGCGGACGGACAATGTCCACCCCAACAGGGATGCGACATGTTAGAAAGCCCTCACGTCGTATGCGGAAGCCATGGAGAAAGCACGGGCACTGATATCAGTAGCAGAGGAAGAGACATGGACCGAAACATGGTTGACAGCGGCTGTAAGGAGAAGCAGGCGAATAGCAACTGCGATAAGGGAAAAAAAAGAGAACAATCTTGCTGCAGCAAAGACGGAGCATTTAGCAAGCCCAAAGATCTGTTTTCCCCCGGTCCACTTTCCTTGATATCTGCAGACAACACTGGGTTGGACTTGTGCTGCCCGGGACCTATTGCTACAGAAGATACAGACATGATCGAACAACATCCCCTGTCTATTGTCGGAGAGGATACATGCTGTACAACAGACGTTGACTGCGAGTGCTCAGGTACATATAAAGCTATTGCCTTCTGGTCGTTTTTATATATACGTATATACATGCTAATATAACGCCATTGACAATCAGAGGAATGTCTCTTTGAGTACGCCTCATATCTGTGCTCTGTGAACAGCGAGCATAGAGAGGATCAGGCCTTCTTTCCAGAGGAAGACGAATGCTGCACCGGCAAGAAGTCTTCGGATGAGCCCAAAATGGTTCCGGTTTCACCAGGATCAGCCCTTCCCAGAAGCTCCGAGCTTCCACCTCGGCGTCCCAGTCATATTCTCCGGAAAATGACGGCGATGACATGCGCCAAACATTTAAATATGGCCGTAGAATACGCTTCAGATATTGCCACCGGGGCAGCACTGGGGAATATGTCCTCTACCGTCACTGCCTCTATCAGAGCTGCTGAAGCCTCCTACGTCTCCAGTATCAGTAACATTATCCGACGATGTTTTTGCAGAGGTACTCGTCGCTTCCCATTCCCTGGCGATAAAAGTTGCTGCATGGTTCGTCGCGAACGCAAGCGAAACCTCGCAGAGCCATTCCGCGATTCTACCTCTGCCTGCTCCAAGTTGTTTTCCGAGGATAAAATCGATAAAATCGATACAATTCCCACTCCACCTCAACGATCTCCGCAATCCGATGTTGAGATGGGAAATGTCGACCGTCTCCACGCTCTCTCGCTTGGCGTGGTTGGGATGACCTGTGGCGGGTGCGAATCGAAGCTGCGGAATACCTTGAACTCATACCCCGGTATAAGTGAAGTGCGAACCAGCTTTATCCTGAACCGTGCGGATATGACATATGACCCTTCAAGAGTCAGTGACCCAGCAGAAATTATATCTAGAGTTAAGAAGGTTACCGGTTTCACATGCACGATCCTTCGAACCGGGCTTGCAGGGGATGCTGTCGTTGGGGAGCGAGTACATATCAAGAATCTCAGCTTGAAGGGACGGGATGTTGTTCAGCAGATGGATGGAGTAAGCCATATCTCCCTGCTTCGTGATGCAACCTATGAAGTGTTTTACAACCCCCAAACCGTTGGTATCAGGGATATTCTTGAAGCGGGAAATGTGCATGTTGGAGGATCCGAACCATGCGCGGAACTAGTACCAAACAGCTCTTCTGAAGAAGTTGCGGAAGCTACTGAAAATGCACACTGGCTCTGGCTGATTGTTCGCTCTTTGGTAGCTACTGTGTTTACAATCCCGGTGCTGGTATTTGCGTGGGCACCAGTTGCCAGATATTCTCCTTTCCCGAAACAAATGTCATTCATTTCCTGGTCCTTCGCTCTAGCAACAGTCGTACAGCTACTTGCAATTCCGATTTACCAATATGCTTTTCGATCTTTGATCTACCAGAAAGAAATAGATATGGATGTCCTCGTCGTATTGTCTATTACAAGCGCTTATATCTATTCTGTGGTAGCATTTGTTTTTGAAGTTCGTCATTCGACCGAAACTACAGTATTGGGCCATCCTATCTTTGAGACTAGCTCATTGCTGGTTACTCTAATACTGTTAGGCAGACTAATGGCGACATGGGTTAAAAGGAAGGCTCAAAACGCTATCAAATTGAGTACATCGCAATCAAAATCCGCGCGTGTCATCAGAAGAGCATCTCCCAGGCATGGTTTCCATTCCTGTCCCTCGACGAATCTAGAAGACGGAGAAACTAAATTTATTGACATCTGCCTCCTTCACTACGGAGATATCATTCAGGGAATGGCATCTGAACATATAGTTACTGATGGGATCATCGTTAACGGAAGCGCGGAGATTGACGAGGCACATATCACCGGGGAGAATGTTCCCGTCGTTCGTACAACGAAGGCGTTTGTATATGCCGGGTCAACCATTATCAACGGCCAGATCAACTATCGAGTTACAAGACTCGTATCTGAGAATACTCTCAGCATCGTCAAGCGTCTTGTCTCCACAGCCGCATCATCGAGAACAAAAATACTAGAGAGAGCTGACCTGGCTGCTTCGTTCTTGACCCCTATCATCCTCGTCGTGGCATGCATCTCATTTCTCGTCTGGGTCCTTGTCAACCGATTTGCTAGAGACTGGACTGATACAGAATCATCGATTAATGCCCTTACACATGCGATTGCAATCCTTGCTATCAGCTGCCCGTGCGCTTTGGTACTAGCTGTCCCGATGGTCCTCGCTGTTTCAAGCACAGTAGCGGCGAAGAAAGGGGTTCTTTTTAAGACTGGGGAAGCTCTTGAAGTCGGGCGCCAAATTACCCACGTCGTTTTTGATAAAACAGGGACCCTGACATCCGGAGAGCTCTCTGTCATCCGTGAAACTCTTCTCTGCGAAGGATCTAGTGAAACTCGACAAGAAATCAACAGGATGGCGGCGATGCTCACGAAAGGGAATCGCCATCCCGTATCTCTGGCAATCGCACAATATATAGCTAGCAAAGGCACCCAGGCGAGCGTGTGTGGCGAGTTAGAGCCCACGATAATAGTAGGAAAGGGGGTTGAAATAGCTACTGAGAACGGCACAATAAAGGGTGGTAGCCCATCCTGGTTGGGATTGGAAAACCATCCAAAAGTCAAACAATTGCTCAATGAAGCCCTTACAGCCTTCTGCGTGACACAAAACGGTGCCCTCTTGGCTGTCTACGGGCTGGCGGGTACCATCCGCCCTGAAGCAGTCGGTGTTCTCCAGAAGCTTCGCAGCAAGAAAATAACCACCCATCTCCTCTCAGGAGACAACCCATCTGCCGTCACTGCTGTTGCTGCAGAGCTGAACTTCGATATGGATAACGTCCGCAGCCTTTGCCAGCCCGACAGCAAAGCTGCATATATCCGTAACTTACAAACACCCTCCTCCATGCAGCCCGAACTCGCCGCTTCGCCCAGATCTCGCTTCTGGCTCCGTCCCCGATTGCAATCACAGAACAACAAAGTCCTTTTCATCGGGGACGGCACCAACGACGCCCCGGCGCTCTCCCAAGCCGATCTAGGAATCTGCATGACAAATGCAACAGATATCGCCGCAGATGCAGCAGACGTAGGCATTCTCTCTGGCTCCCTGCACGGGCTGCTATCCTTCCTAGAGCTCTCGCACTCGGCAACCCGTCGGATTCAGATTAATATCGCGTGGGCGGTGGCGTATAATGTGTTTGCGGTGTTGTTTGCAGGCGGTGCGTTTGAGGCTGTGGGATTTAGGATCCAGCCGAGCTATGCGGGGGCTGGGGAGATAGTGAGTCTTGTGCCCGTGATTGTGGTTAGTTTGAGTTTGGGGTTCTCATTGTCATGGCTGTATGGTGGGCGGGCGACATAGGTGGGATGGGATGGGGCCAGGAGGAGAGGGAATCTCCTTCTGCTCTAGCTTCCGTTATTTGTTTTCTCCGCTGTTGACATTGTCTTGTGTTTGCGTTTGCTGGAAGGACTGGGGTGGCAGGTTTTATGTACTGTACCACCAAACTAATGAATTGAAGGATGACGGAAGTGGTGGTGGTAGATATTTTGTAGTTTGTGCGTTGCTTGCTAGGAGGTGACAGCCTACATCTTGAATACAGTCGTTTCGTTTCCATAGCTATTATCCATCTTAACTTTCAGATGTATATGACAACGTGGAACGGACTTTGGAATTGCCCCCTTCTAATGGAAAGACGGCAAACCACTATGAAAAACCAACGCCTTCACCAATTATGTGGCATTGACGTACAGTAAATACTACACACTTCTACAGAACATGACGATAAACCAGATTAAGCAACAAATAGAAGAATCAAAGGGAAAAATATACAAAAAATACAAAAACCCGGGGTCCCAAATATGCAAATTGAAATAAACAAAACCAACGCCCCGTTGAAAACAGTGGGTATTTATTCAAAATCAAAATGCAGCGTTACATACACCCCAATATACAAAAAACTCCGTACAACCCACCAAGGGCAAGGGATGCAAAAACCGCGACGGCCAGCAAACATGCATCTATACACGCGTTCGGAAAGAAAAAGAGAAAAAAGCAATCCTACTCTCCACTGGTGACGGATGTTGTCTTTTTGACGCAACGAGATGATCACATGAAGGGAAGATTCCATTACCGCATCGACCCGACCGGATCCATGTCAATCCCCAGTTCTTCCCGCAGCAGCGAGGCGATCACAAGGGAGGGGAAGACGCCAATACAGCATCGACCCAACCCGGATCCATCTCGAGTTGTGTATAGAAAAAGGAGTAGCGACACGATCACCAGGTAAAAGAAAATGCCATTATAGCATCGACTTAACTGGATCCATCTCGAGCTTGGGATCGAAATCACCATCGAACCCCCCGTTTATCAGTTCGGCAACGATCCTTTTACGGATCTGGGGAATATCCCTAGCCCCATATTTCAGGGGCATGCCTAACGCCACCAATTTGGCGGTCGTCAGGAGGAATACCCCGCAATCGCTGCCGTTATCTTGCTGTGGGGAGATGGAGGGCAGCACCCGCCACTCTTCTTCCACGAAGAGTTCGCCCAACTCACCCCGGAGCCACTTCTTCACCGTTGCAATGTGGGCCAAGGAGGGCGAACCGAGAGAGTCAAAATGCTCGATCGTTCGAGCAACCGGTCTTACGACCATAAGGGTCCAGTGTTCGCTGTCGTGGATGGGGACGAAAACCGTCTCCACTCGCAACAACTCGCCCCCTCCGATCTTGGCACGACTCGCCCAGCGCCGCACGCTCTCATAACCTTTGTCACGAAGGTTAGAGAAAAAAAACGTGCTGAAGGCGTGGTACCTGGGCTTGTCATGCCTCCCAGAATTCCCTGCAGCCCGACGTGCATGGTCGACGATCAACGCAAGATATGCGTTGATTACTTCGTCATTGAGCCAGGTGCGTAGCTTGTAACAAGTGTTAAGCGACCTCCGAGTAATAGGCTCTCCACGTGATGTGGAGGCCAGCTTACTGTGATCGGAGTGCGCCATCGCACTGTCAACTTTAGTTTCCCACGCGGCTGTCAGGTGTTTAACGAACGGGGCATCTAGGGATCGAGGAGAGAGCTGGTTGCGCTGGATCAACTTGTCTGCCAGGGTTTCCCTGTCTTTGGACGCTAGAGCTGCACCTGCGCCCTCTGAAATCGCTTGAACCGAAGGAACTATAGGGAACAAAGGATCATAGGCTCGCACTGAAGAGACTGGCCTTCCCATCGGCGAATCTGTCGTGAGCCATTGGACAGCTTTGTTTGGGCGTTCCTCGGCCTCTTGAGCATTGCTGGGCAGATATCCTTCGTAATCAGGAGTTGGTGGGGCCTCCTTTGACTCTGCCTGAAGTTCTTGTAACACTGTGGCTTCTGGTTGGGCAACTGGTTCACCGGGTGGTGGCGATGGAGCCTGCTGAGGAGTCGCTTGAACTTGAGTCACTTGAGCTTGAGTTTGATCAGGAGTCGGTTGAGGAGTTGCCGCATGAGCAGGAATAGCTTGAGGAGAAGTGAGCTGAGAAATAATAGCTTCAAGGGAAGTAGCTGGAGTCCCTAGAGAAAGAGATCGTCGAGGTGGGGTCAACGGAGCAAGTGTGGTTAAACCTTCAGGGACTGCTGGAAGTTGTGGAAGCGGTGGGAGTGGTAGCTTTTCCTCTGGCTCTGGAGAAGAAGAAAGTTTGACAGATTTGGTCCGTTGGGCACCTCGATCACACATAGCTTGACATCTAGCCAATTCCGCTGCTTCCTCCTCAGGAGACAATTTGTCAACTAGGTGTCCGGTTTCAGCAAAAGTGTATTTTCGGTAAGATTCGTGGAAAGCTCGTAGGACAGCTTCGTTGCGCGGAACTGCGTTTGGCCAAGCTCCTGGTACGAATACGCCCTTTCTTAGAGGACGTGGGACGGGATTTTTGTTCCGGCGATCTAGAGGCACATAAGGAAGTGGACCAGCGGTCGACTTGGACTGGAATTTGATTTTGCTGGTAGGTGTCTTCTTTTGGATCTTCGAGCCTTTCACCACAGCATCCTTTTTGGCACTGCGTCTGTAGGACTTAATCATTTGAGACGGTGGAAGGTTGGTACGTGGAGAAAGGTTGGAATCTTCATATTCGTAAATGGTGACCTGTGCATGCTGAGGGGTTGGCTTCTTAATACCCATGCCAAACTTACGAGCTTTTTGGCGGTGGCGTTCATTTTCAGATAGGTGGCGCCGACTCCTGCTCTGTTGTTGTTGTTGTTGCCGTGGTTGCCGTGGCTGCCGCAGTCGAATTTTTCGCCGGATAAATTCGGGCACCACACCATCGTAAATCTCAACGGCTCTTCTTTTTACGCACCCTTGGACCTCAACAGCGGCCTGGACGAACTCTCGATAAGTTCGACTTGCTTTGTTGCCAACTGTTTCGAAAGCGAAACGCATAGCTTTGAGTGTTGGGAAGTAAACCTCATATATCACCCATGGAGGTAGACGTAGAACGTGTTGCAGGAATGTGAGCTAATGGAGCGGAAGTTAGTATGTATATGTACTCGTAAGTCGTTGTGTTGGGTCACAACTTGCCTGTTGTTGTTGAACGACATCATCATAGCCGTGCTCCGGAAAATTCGGAGGTATCACGGTGCCATCGGTAAGAGGAACTACCATCCCTGGAGCTGATGTGCGTGGTTCCCCAACCAGGGCACCCGACATTAGCGCAATTTGGTCTCGAACAATGCTGGCATCAGCTTCACTCATGTGAAATAGCTCAGTTGGTGGTATAGCCAGCTGACGGGTAGTGGCTGGGGCCAGCCGCCAAGTGCCAGGGAAACGTTTAGGAGTACGTTGATTTTCAGGTTGATAGATGACGGCATCCTCAGGAACCTGATGAAAATGATCAAGTTAGAATAGCTATAGCTTTTAAGGCCGGGTCATCAAATCTTACTGCTTACATAAACTTGGGCAACTGAGGCACCAGAGGCTTGAGAAGAAGAAGGTAAAATTGAGCGCGCTGTGACTGGTGAAGCTGCGACTGGCGACGCTGCAACGGGGTGAGTTGCACGCTGAGAGGCCGCAAAAGGATTGTCTGCAACTGGTTCGATTACGAGCCGAGGGCCCACAAAAGGGGACGCTGCAGTTGAGCGCGTTGCAAGCGGGGAGCTTCCAAGTAAAGAGCCTTCATAAGAAGGCGCGTCAGTCATTGACGTGTCTACGGGTGATTCTGGTAGGGACTGTAAACAAAAAACAAAGATCAGTATCAACGAAAGAAAGAAAAAAAAAAAAAAAAAAAGAAAGAAAAAGAAAAAAAGAAAAGGGGGGACTGAATCTAGGTCCTACATTTCCATGAGCCGTCTCTAGCTCTAGATCACGTTGATTCCCGCGACCACCCTGCTCGTAGCCACCAACAGCCTCGATATTTCTCTTACGTGGAGTGGAATTGAGAGTTCGATGGATGACTTGGGGTAATGGGATGGATGAGATGCCGCTGCATCTCCATGTAGCGCCTATTCTTCGATCGGACTTCACGGCCGTATTACCGTCCTGCGTTGGGAGATACCCCCCCGACTTGTTCTGATTGCCATTTGATGACCCCTGTGGCCCACCCTCAGGAGGAGTTCTGGCCTTTTGCAATTTAAAAAGGGCATTGCTTGGGGGGGTCTTACGGTGAGGCTGAGTTGGAGAACATTGAAGGTTCAAAGGCTGTGAATTTCCGTTTGGCGAGAGTAGCAGGGCCAAAGGTGGTGTGGTGGGTGCTGTCTCTGCGTTCACCTGAGGAGTCTTAGAGTTGGCTTGGACGCGTTGCGAGACGCGAATAGGGGTTTGAGTAGTGCTATATTGATGAGACAAAGTGTTATGATGTGAAGTTGGAACTGGAAGAGGGTCTTGTGAAGGGGTTGGCTCCCAGTCCATTGGATCAGGAGGAATGAGATGCCCCTCCATATTTCGAATCAAAAGGTTTCGATGTAATGCAGATATTTTTCCCATTTTCGCGGCTGCTTAAGAATTGAGTTCGTAATAAAGGCGGTGGGGGTGGTAGTAGCCAAATGTAGGCGGGTAGATGTAGTCCAAGGATGATAGAGCAAACTGATATGCCAATCAGATAGCTCGAGAAAGAACAAGGCGTGTCGATGGGGCCAGAGAGAAATAGAATGAATGGCGACGATGGAAGGAGAAATACTGGAGTCTTGCAAGTGTTCAAGCTTGAGAGATAGAGAAGATGAACGGACCGACGCTTTTGTTTACGGATGGCAAAAAGGCTGGGGCTCAGCCAGCCAAAAGACGAAGGAAGGTGAGACGTGTTTGTAGCAGAGCAAAAAGCGTGTTGAGGCAGAGACTGAAGGGAACCCGCGAATTTTTTTTTTTTTTTTTTTTTTCTTTCTTTCTTTCTTTCTTTCTTTTTTTTTTTTTTTTGGTAAAAGAAAGAAGAAAAGAAAGGAAGAAAAGGGCTGGCGCTTCACTGGAGGAACTTTTGGCTTGCTTGGGTAGAGAACGTGGTTGACAACGAAAGGTTTGGGGTGGATGATTAAGAGTAGGAGAGGGGAGAGTAGTTGGAAAGCAGAAGAGAGAGAAAGAAAGAAACGTGGGAGGAAGATAATGGAGCTTTTGAGCGGTGGATTGTGCAGTGTTGTAGAGGTTGGGAGGGGGGATGAAAAGGAGTTAACATCCAAAGCGGGACTTTGTTGTGATGTTGATGTTGCTAAGCACTCGATCCGCTGAACACGTTGCCGTTTCTGTGTGTATATTTCCCACCCTGCGTCTTTCGAGTTGTCTGGAAATGCAGAGAAAATGGGTATTTGGGATATAGGGGGGTGTTCAGGGTGACCGCGGGGAACAGCTCCAAGATCAAAACCACCCCAGCCCCACAGCAACGCCCGGAGTGAGCAACAAATAGAAAACCAAACAAACCCGAAAGTAAGTAATTAGTGATTAGGATAGAGTCGAGTGAAGAAGGGTTAGGAGAGAGGTAGAAGCGTGACAGGACAAAGAGGCAATTAGATCATTAGGAAGAGAGAATGAACATGCGAACGAGTGTTTGGGGGGTATAGATTAAGGTTTGATAGAGGATTGGGATCCAAGCAGACACAAGCGACAGAGAAGATTGAGAGGATGGAGACACATAGAGCACTAGCAGCGAAGTACAGTAAGAGAATACTCTCTAACTCCGGACGTTGTCTGTCTGGTTAGACCAAAGGAAATGCAACGTGATCTGCGCTGATGTTCCGTAGAGAGATTTCCTGGCAGAGTAAAAGAGAGAGAGAGAGAGAGAGAGAGAGAGAGAATCGGGAAGATGTAGCGGTCAAAGTAAGAGCTCCAGGCGCCGTACCGTCGAAGAAGATAGAAGAAACGCCGTCCGTCCGTAGTTCGATGCGGGCGCTAAGAGCTGTCGTTGCTCCGATCCAATCATGTACAGGAAGCTTTAGTTTGTTTTTGGGCGGAACTCTGTACAGGGGGGTGGCGGTAAAGGTCGAGAGGAAGAGCTAAGCTTGATTAACACAAAGAGGGGCCGTGGATTTGAGGTTTGAGGAGCTGCTTTACAAGGAGCTACTTGCGGAACAAGAGCCGGGTGGGAAGAGGGGGGGGGAAGGGCGGGATTTCGTAAGTTCAGTCCAATGAAGAGGTAGAAAAGTAAGAAAATTAAAGCGAACGATTGGAGAAAGTCAAGGAAGTTTTTAAAGAAAATAAGAGAGAAGCAGAAGGAAGAGGCAGAAGAACGGAGCAGCAGACCAACCCAAACCACTCCGCGTTGCTGCACGGGGATACTTTGGCCTTGCTCCACACGCGGTGAGTAGCGGGCGAATCTTTGGATCTTGAAGCTCAAACTTCCATTAGCTAGTTAGTTAACAACAGAAAAAGAAAAAAGGTCGTTCCTATCCCCAAAGTCGTCGCTAATCCGCATGCTTATTTCCCAGTTCCTGGCAGCCAGCACACAACGACCTTGGAATGGATATTGGTATCCCCATGAATATCTGCAAAGGTAACCCGGAGGAAGAGTCGCTTTTCCTTTTTATTTTCCCTCTCTAATTGTATGTAGCCAGCCCAACAACCGGGGGGGGGGGGATGAGCGGCTTAGGGCAACTTTAAAGCTTGTGGCTGGCAACTGATCACGTGTTAACTGGAGCTTGGTTGTTTTAGGATTAGCGCAGCGCTTTGGGCGAAACAAACCCGTTCAAGTCCGCAAAAGTCCCGCAGAATTTCAAATCAATTCCATGAAAGGGAAAAATCAAAAAAAAAAAAAAAAAATCCAAAATCAAAAAATTCCAAAAAAAAAAAAA